ATGGTTGATCACTTATTATGTTATGGAGCATGTTACTTTTTGAAAACTTGATTCACTTATGTTGTTTGTATTAGGTATAATTCGATTTCTTCCTAACAAAGTCTGATTTGAGGTGATCTAAAAATTGGTGCATCTTAATTTAATTTTAGGTAATCTAATATGGTTTCATATTTCTATGAAAGTTAATTCCAAAACCGAACTAATAAAAAACGATTTTAATTAATCAACCTGAAAAAAAAACAATACTATTTGGTTTGTTTCTGAAAACATTAATTAATCATCAAACCTCTACAACTGCATTCTTCACACAATCAACATTACACAACCGAACTGATCTCACAATTTCACCCAACCTACAAACCACATTTTTATAAGGTTAGATCACATATATAACATTATAATATATATACAAATCAACTCGAAAATAAACGTTAATGAATCGATCGATGATTTATGGTTTAAGTACTAACCTGTCGAAGCTATTCCTGGCCCGATCAGAGCTATCCACGCTATTTCTCGCCTTTCCAAACCGATGATCTATACTATTTTTCCTTGATTTTTCTCTAGTTGTAACACACTCTGTGCTATGCCTCGATCCAATCCAACTACTACTCTTGGTCTTCTCTTTCTTGTGATCATGATCATCTAATGAATGATGTCGGAATTTTGGAACCGGAAGCTTTTCAATGGCTGATATGAACTTTCTTAAGTGAGGTAAGTACTCAGGGAACATTTCAAGATTACAATGGTTTCCTCCTTTAAGCCATAAGGGTTCATATTTTTCTTTGCATAGTTCCCATAGTTGCTTTCCATGTGAAATGCCCACCACATTGTCGTCTGTTCCCTGCATTGCACGCCAAGGAGAATGATCTAGTTGCTACTATAATGTCATATATGAAATTGGATCGTGATATATCTTGTAACGTAATGAGAGAAATATACTTACATGAATCACAAGAACGGGACAGTCCACGAGTTGAATTTTGTCAATATTCTGCAATAAGCGAAACTCTTATCAATCTAAGTTGAGGTAATTTTGTTAATATCTTCTATTATTTACACATCAGGATATTTATAAATTAACCATTATTAGTTATCATTGATCCCATAAGGCCATAACATTTATTATGCCAAATCCAGAATTAATACTATTTGATCAAATTCTAGAAGTTCTTAAGAGCTATTTTACAATGATTATAAGATATACCTAGGCCATGATAATTGAGGTTAAAGACAGTTATAGAATGCGTATGATTTTCCATGCCATGTTTTGTTATTATAATTGAACAATCTAAATCTTAAGATTAAACAACCAAAACATAAGATTTTATTCTAGAATATGAAGTAATTATTTTATAAAAAAAATTATAAACTTAAGTCTTCTCTAAATGTTCTCTCTATTCATACTTAAGACTTAAGAGTAAACTATGCTTGTAAATGTATATAAGAAAGATCGTACCTTGTAAATGTCAAACCAGAAGGAGTGCTTAACAGGGTACATGACACGTAGACCGGACAAGAAAGGACTGTGAAGAACAAGTGCTCGGACACGTGGAAGACGAGAAGCAAGCTCGAGCGAGGGTCCACTTCCCACAGATTGTCCGTACAAAATGATACGTTCATCTTTTGTACCGTACGTTTCTCTTAGCCAATTGTAAGCTGCTTCTATGTCTGCGTACGTCTCTTGCTCGCTTGGCTTTTCAACATTATACGATTTAAATCAATCCCCATACACAACACCAATCATACTTTTAAGTATATAATATTCAACAATCATATGATTGTTTTTATAGAGTATTCATCATGGAAATGATTAAATTTGGGTGGCATAGTAAATGTGATTCGTCTATCAAAATTTATTTTATTTGCCTTTTTGAAGTCTATGACTATATATATAAACGTTACATGTATTCAGCTAATTAAGTTTCTCTGTGATCTCAATATGAAATGAACGCGCTAAACCCGAAAGCAAGAGTGATTTGACAATTTGGAAAATATGACTTACCTTACCAGAGGATTGCCCATATCCTGAGTAATCGTATCTGCAATTATCAACACAGAAAACCATT